TGTGTTTAATAAATCAATATAAATAATGCACTAGATATGAAACGACTTGAAACAAATGAAAATAACCTCTAAACCTTTAAGTAACAAAGGTTCAAAGTGAAAGATAATAATAGTAATTCGGAAGACGTTAGCTCATTATTAAAGCGAGTCAGGTTCGAACATTTAGTCTCAAGGTACAACATTAGGTAGGTAAAGTGTGGGGGGCGTTATGCTAATGTAATCGACAATCGTATTCACTGAACTGCTAATCGTGGTAACATACATACTGATTTATATTACTACGTACCTACTAGTTCTTTGGAATGTTCTAGAAGGACTATCGTTTTGGATAGTGTTAGCAAATACAAACATCCTTTAGTAAACAGGTATAAGGTACTTCAATTTTTAAACGTAACTAATAAGTTTTTAGTAGATATTATGAGTTGTGTATGGCCATAAAACACCTTTGTCTTTAGGTGAAAACCAAGTGTGTTACAAACTGTAACTCGTCGAGTACCGTCATTATAGACACAATTATAGAACAATAGGTTGCGGTCACCGGTGACCGCTTGGTGTTTGACAGTTTAAAAAAAAGTAAAACTCGAGTGTGATCTCTCGCAGTGTCATCTAATGCCTAGTTTAATCAAAACTCCTAATTAATTATAATGTTTTTCGGCTTATTCACGTAATTATTTGACGAGGAACTCGACTAGTTTCAAGCCATGCTACAGGCTCATATTTATGAGCAGCATTCTGCGACCCGCGCCGCGCCGGTTGCCGCGCTGCTACTAATAATTACGTGGGAAAGCTGAAAAACATAATAATTAATTTAGGAGATCTCATGAAAGTTATAACATAAAGCTTCCAATATTATTACAATGTACTTTTAAATACTTAGAAAACTATTATAAATCCGGATAATTCTGGTTATTTTAATACAATTTACTTCGCAGCACTTCCCGGAATTTCACTGTTCATTGTATACAACAACTATTTTTGGAATGGACGGAAATTAATTTGCAAGCAGTCAGAAGCACCATTTTCTACATCGAATAGATGTTTTAAATTTATTATTTACTTACAAAAATGTAGTACTTTTGAATAATGTCGTGAAGTGGCAGTGGGCAGGGCACATAGCGCGGAGAATCGATGGCCGTTGGGGCAGAAAGGTTCTCGAGTGGAGGCCACGTACCGGCAAGCGCAGCATAGGACGTCCATCCGCAAGGTGGAAGACGACCTCATTAAGGTCGCAGGGAACCGCTGGATGCAGGTCGCTTCCAACCGGACTATCTGGAAGTCATTGGGGGAGGCCTATGTTCAGCAGAGGACGTCCTGTGGCTGATATGATAATGATGATGATGATGATGATAATTAATGTCGTTAAGAAAGGTCCCAAGATGAATCAGTTGATTACTAATCAAGGTTTAAAACTGATTGTGATAAAAATTACATGAACTAAATAAGCATAATAATTATAACCCATATGTTAAACCATTTATCCTGGTATTACTATTAACTGGTATAACCCAATATTACATTAGTATTACTGGAGTTTTAATAAAAAAATCTCAGTAATAGCACGGAGTCTGGATTTATATAGAGGTACGGTATATATGGCAGGCTCACCCCCTATTATTTGGGACTCATAACATAAATAGTAAAAATTTTTAAGCATTAAGAGCCGTAATGTGCTAAATCGTTTGGGGATAAAAGGCGTGATGCTATATAGTTTAAACCAATAAAAACGAACGAGCACGCCAAAGTGATCCTTAAATCAACAAAAACTTAAAATAAATCTAATAAACATTCGAGAGCACATTTTGAAGTTTTCCACATAAAAGGTCATAGGGAGTAAGAAATAATGTACTAAAATAACCCGTTGGAATGCCAGCGTTGTAAATCCGAGGTTAGCTTAATCTCAGGAGAAACGACTCGACTGTGAAACCTTATAACTTTCTTCTCCTATAAAAACGGCATTCCTATTTGCTTTGAGACTTCCGAGAATCCAACCATAGCTTCAATCGACTTTAAAATCTGAAAATATTGCTACTAAGTCCATTTTCGATTTAGCATTAGAGCTAAGTAGGTAGTAAGTAACTGAATTCGTTTAATGCTAAGATTTATGGATGTTTTTTAGAAAATAGTTTTATAGATATTGGATTTGATACTTTACCATTTTATGTGAAAACAAATAACAAGATGATAAATAATTTGAATGTTTTTATTTCGAACAGAACCGGACGCAAAGAGTCGCGGGTTCAATTCCCAAGTTTTTTCAAAAAATCTCAGTAGTAGCACGGAGTCTGGAAACGTGCCCGGTATATGCCAATAGGCTCACCCCTTATTATATGTGACTCATTACACAATATAATGAAAAGTGGGTACCTATTACATTGTGCAGTGACATTAAGTGCCGTAATGTACACCTCTGCTATCAGACCACCACAGATGGGGCCCAACAGGGCTGATGCCGATTCGGAGTCGCGGAGAACCTAACGGGTTAGCCGGAGGGCTTGAAGTGCAGGAGAAGGAACAGGGTGGTTTTTAGTCAGTGAGAGTCTGACACTCCCTACCGTCTCACCCAGGCGGGAGAAGTCATTCAATGATTTTTCACCCTTAAAAAACTCCTTCGTCCCCGAAAGGGTTTTATTAAAGGGTGGTGGTGGAGTTTTATTCCTAAAAGGCGTGATGTTATGTTATGCTATAAAATGTTCTACAAAATTAAAAAAAATCTAGTGGCTCCGTTTCTATGCCTTAACTGTATATAGAATAATATGAAGAGTATAGAGCAGGCTGTCCTCATAGTCTACATAATCCACTATTAAAAAAATTAAGAACACTGGCAACATAAACAGTTTTATTATGTTATTTCGACTTCTACTATTATCTCGCCTTGTTTACCTTGTGTAGAATCATTTCTCCTTATATTCTACTAGTCCTTGAACAATGTTTTCTATTGGCAGTTAAAGGCTTAAGCAATATAAGGACTTTTTTGTTATTATTTTCAAACATCGGGTTACATTATCGAAATTGTCACACGGTTCCCTTTTTCTGTTTTATTAAATATAGCCTATGTTCATCATCGATAATGTAGGATACCTACGGTATAAGATTTTTTCAAATCGGTCCGATAGTTTCGAAGTCTGTTCAATTCAAACAAACAAACAAAAAGTCAAATCATTCCTCTTTATACTATTAGTGTAAATTATTTTGTTTAGTTTGACTATTTTCAAATGAATTTATTCTAACAATAACGTTTGTTTCAGCTTTAGGTCTGGAGCCGGACTTTTTGTATCCACTGGAGAACGTGACCATCGCCCAAGGTCGGGACGCGATGTTTACCTGCGTGGTGAATAACCTTGGCGGTTACAGGGTGAGTGGCGACTCCGCCACAGCCAGGGTGTGTATCAAACCTACTCAATACAGCTAACCCTAGAGGAGCACCGTCACAGCACTTTTACTATGAGATCTATAATTTAATAATTATAAAATATTCCAGTAAATTACTAATTTTCTTTTGTATCCTAATCTTATTTTATTTCTGAACTTTTCTTCAGTCTTAGACATTAAACGATCTCTTGATTAATTTATAACTTCCGCCTATTTAGTACTTGAATGCCCTCTACATATTATTTTAATACATAGTTCAGAAAGGCATGTTTTCTCTTCTACTTAGATTTTCTTACTTGTCTGTTTTAAGGACCTTATTGAACAAAGAAATATATTTTTACCGCTAATAATAGGTAATCTTTGTAATACATGATTTATACTTGAATCCAAAATGACTGTAACAAACAGAATCATACAACTACTTTACTGGAAACCCATAAAAATTATAGATCTCAGCGAATAGACTGCACTACTTCCACACTTCTTAGCACACTACCTTCAATGCACTTTCTTCAGCACTCTTCGAGACTCACAGCACCACTTTATAGATCTCTATCCTAGAATAGAGTAACACCGGTACTATATTTGCACAAGTCTACTCTAAGTTTGTCCACATAGTCGTAGTGTTGGCACACTGTGCACAACTGCATTAGACACTAACACTTGCACATAGAGACTAAGATCCAAGAATGTGATAAAAACAGTGATTTATGCAACAGAGAACGAACGGCACTATTCTTGGGTTTTAAACACTAATGCACAATTCTGTTTTATTTTGGAACACACGTTTCTAGCATGCTTTTTTAAAAATTGCACTTTATTTTCTAACTGACTTATATAATTTAGCGATGCACGTCTGTCGGTTTTACGTTAGTCAATCATTGTCGGACAAAAACCGCAGCCCGCTATGAAGGGATCACTTTAGTCCAAGGAATTTACGTTGCAAAACAGTCACTTTAGGAAATTAAAATAAAGCCAGGACAAACCCCCACGGTCCCCGTTCAATCATTTCGAGAGGCGGTGCTCTCAAACTGTCCCGGGAGTTAATCTAGTATACTATCATTATGATATACGACAACGTATCGTGTGCGATATATCCTGGCTTGTATCAAATCGGGTGTCGGCCATAAAACTACCAATAATCTTATTATTGCTATGTAGATAACGGTAGTTGGCACACTTTTAATATTATATTTCTTTCTTAGCAATACGTTAAAAGACATACAATCAAAATCGAAATATTTATTTCTTGCATGTTTCTTTTTGCAAGCTTTGTACTATTTATAGATGAGAATAAAATACTTAATTAGGTGTCAATAATAAATCTCTTCGATTTATCTAACAAACCAACACAAATCGTTAGAAATCGGAACAAAAGATTGTGCAATAAAACCGTACAAATACTTATTCTCGAATCTTTCCTCTACGTGAAACAAGATTCGATAATAGTCTCACTGGGGCCGTTAACTCAGGTCACTCGATTCCTACACGACTATCGATTTCCCGTATCGATACATATTTGTTTTTCTATATCGATCCCGCGTAAGTAATTACACAAGACTAATAACATCCTCGCATGTGTTTCTCAGCGATTCCCACGTGACTGTCGAGATGAGAATCGTATCAACACGATAGTTGTACGTGGTATAACCACTGATTGAGTCATAAATATGAAACATAATTATTTCGCATGCTTATAAAACAACTTACTATTTTACGCCATATAAACTACAAAAATACGATTGGCACTATAAATGACAAAACTACGGTTAGAATAATTTGGACACTTCAAAATTTTCAAAGGCTCATACAATTATGAGCCAGTCCAATGACTATTAACACAAAGTGTTTGTGTAAGATTCAAATCACACAATGATTACATTCTCAATACATAACACACAAAATAATTCAAAAATTTTAAACACACCTTCGATATGCACCGCTGGTATGGATGAGTTCAAAATTTGGTAAATATACCTACTGTCTTTATTTATTATTCTTTTGTTTTATTATTTAATTTTATATGATGCAATTTCTAAAGCCTTTTGAAAATGAAATTACATCGCACAACAGCTCTGCAATCCTTTCTTCGCTCATTTCAAAAACGCAGATAAAGCTAATTGAAGGAATTGTAAAGCTGTTTGTACAGAACAATATTATGTTCAAGCACTACGATGTTTTAGTTATATTTGTTCTGATTGTAGTCTCTAGGCACCTAATTAGTTACTAATTAGAGTTGCACAAGCACTATACGAATGTAGAACACTTTCTAAGTCGCACCTCTATTAGTGCACTTCTTCCTGCACTTTCTATTCACTTACGTTACGTATTAAATGTGTAATAAATAAGTTCCTGAAAATCAGTCCTTAAGAGTACATTTCAATTTATTGAAAACGCAAGCTTCAGAGGCACCCGCTGTACTTACTATACGAGCTGATTCCGATTTACTCATTCAATGAAAACTTTGAATGGATGTTCTGACTTTTACATTCAGTAGGAATTACGAATAAACATCGCTCCAAATAATATTTTCAATAATAAAGTAATACAGAGAGCGACGCGTATCGTAGTCAAGTACAAACGCCGTATTTCTGTTCGTATTTTTTTGTTACGCGCTATGCAGGAAATTAGCTTCTATTGCGATGTCGACGCTTTTGGTAAAGCGGGTGAAACGAGGGCGTTTTCAGTGCGCCCACAGCCCGCCTCATGGCGGCGACCAGACGAAAATGTAATTAAAAATTCCGAGAGCATTTTGCGCGGCACTCGCAACAAGATAGTGTTGCTGGCTCGAGGATCGTTGTCGTGACTGCCTCTTGGGAAGCATTCGCTTGTAATTAGACTTGTTCGTTGAAAGTCTTCATTGTTTACAAACAACATCACACGTGTAACGGATAATCGTGACAGGAATGCGGCGTTTGTGTGCCATTTTTATTTTTCAATGTACTTACAAGGTTTTTTTACTCCATGCACACTTTGGACGCCAATTTTTGGGTGTTGTCTGCTCACGCACGGATTGCTGCGGGTAGGTAGCGTGGATCAAAGCGGACACGAAGGCGATTCTGGCAATACACGAGCACGTGATTACGAACAATGCGCGGCTGAGCGTCACGCACAATGACTACAACACGTGGACGCTCAACATTAGAGGTGTGAAGCGAGAGGACAGAGGACAATATATGTGCCAAGTTAACACTGACCCAATGAAAATGCAGGTAAAGTGCTGCTTATTCCAACCATTAAATGTTCCTTCCCAGGATTTATTTTAGAGTGAGTATTCCGTGTATGTGCATTGGTACTGTAACTTCGTGTACTGTGGCATCCCGTTACGAGAATGTCAGTAGTTTTTCGGAACGACTCTTGCAGTTTGTGAATGCACCTTATCGGCTTGCCCGTGCCGCGTAGATAATGGTGTCACTTCTCCGAAATCAGTATTGACGCCATAATCAGAGTAACAATGCATGCGAGTGCGGAAACATGCAACACTTTAAATCAACAAATTTGCATGACGTAAAATAATGATTGTTATTGTATGAATAAAAAAATAACCTACGGGTTATTGATCCCAGTGATTTACACAAATGTGTGTGTAAAATCACCGTAAAAATGTTAATCCTGTAAATAATTTTCAGACTGCATTTTTGGAAGTAGTAATCCCTCCAGACATAATATACGAAGAAACTTCTGGAGACATGATGGTACCAGAAGGTGGTTCCGCCAAGCTGGTCTGCAAAGCCAGGGGATATCCTCCGCCCAAGATAGTTTGGCGCAGAGAGGACGGAGGAGACATTATATCTAGAGGAGGTCCACAAGGAAAGACGAAAGGTATGTCTTAAGATTTTCATAAAATCTTGAGATTTTAATGTTACGTTTTTATTTTGATTTGTAGTAGGTACTTAATACAATTACGATATATAACATGACATCTTGATTAAAAACTAAAATTTTTTTGCCCACCAAAAAAATACGTTCTAGATTGATATACGATATTCAGATTTGTCGTTGTCGTTGCCGCTTTGTGGATAGTTTTAATTGTTTATAGGGTATTTATCATTTGTAGACCGATTATTGTTTGTGAAGAATGCATTCATTCGTCAAATGACGCAACGTGAACAGTTACCCTTAGTTTCATTCCTATCATATAAATCGTTCCCTATAACATTCAATAGAGGACAATGACCTGTCATAAATGTAACTCAATAACTGAAGCCAGTCAATTCATATTGTACGCACCGCAACATATCTTGATGGTTCCGTACGCCAGGCGAGATCTTAATAGTCTAGTAACTCAATACACTAGCTGCGATGCAATCTATAAATTCAATATGTTACTATTAAATATGACTTGGAACATAGACATATGCAAGGGAACTGCGTTGAAATTTGTCGGCTAAGTTTAATTCATCGCTAATGCCTTGTTCGCACTACGCTAGTCATTTAATCAAGTAGCTAGTATTTAGTAGCTCCGATTTTGGGAGAGGAATGAGAGACAGCTACATTTTTTTTATGAGTTAGGCCCGCGAACGAACAGACGGATTATCTGATGATAAGCAATTGGCTCCGGCCGCTTATGGACACCCGCAACTCCAGGGGAGTTACAAGTGCGTGTATGGGATCAGGAGTTGAGCCTCCGGTAATCTTACTCACCCGAACCACAGCGCAAGTGTTGTTTCACGCCGATTTTCTATGAGGCCGTGGTATCACTGTCGAACTGATACGTTGGTGTTGAAGCATGGTTCTCCCATACTTAAAAACTCGCTACTCGACTAAAATACTAGCGTACTTCGAACAAGGCATAAACGTAATTCAGTAACTTAGACTAGAAGTTACGTCACTAGTCGGAACTATTAGCTGTAAACATCCATTTAATTCGTAGTTTGATTCCCAATTGTGTGTTCATGTATTTCTAGTTTAGTTCGGTTACTGGTTGGTTTAAGTTAGACTGAGGGCTATTTTGATGTTTCAATCGTTTGTCTGATTCAAGGACTGAACTCGAAACTTTTTTCTTTCCAGTTGCTATGACTTGCATTTCAACTAATAAGTTTTCATTTCAAAATAGGTCTAGTATCATATCTAACCTTCTTTATAACACTGAAACTGAAAAAATCGTCAACTTGTAGCAGTCGACAAGAGTACCTACATTACAATGGATTACTAATATAAATAAATATATGAAGATACAACATAACATAATATCACGCCGTTTATCCCCGAAGGGGTAGGCAGAAGTGTACATTATGTCACTGTACAATGTAACACCCACTTTTCACTATTTATGTTATGAGTCCCATGTAATAGGGGTTGAGGCTATTGCCATATACCGGGCACAATTCCAGACTTCGTGCTACATCTGAGATTTTTTTTAAAAACCCAGTAATACTTTGCCCGACTCGGGAATGGAACCCGAGACCCCTTGCCCGGCAGTCGCACTTGCGACCACTCGGCCAACGAAGCAGTCATAATAATAAAGATACAACCTTATTTATAAACCACAAAATGGTTATAAACTAAAGTAAGTACAAATCACGCAATTATGTTAACATTGAACAATCTGTTAGTTTCTACAAATAGGTACATTTAATCCTATTCCGATTCAATTAATTAAATAGCAGTGTAATGTCAACAGCCGTTGTCAACACATTTTAACAATTAATATTCATTACTAAAATGCCTAATTGCGAATGAATTGGACAAGCACGTCGTTTGAGCTTTTGACAGTTTTATGAAACTACTCGTTTCTGCCTGCAGTTTTACCTACTTCATCAATATCCCCTTAGAGGCCACTGCCAGACTATGGGGATCCTCTACAAAAAAGGTGGTTTCCATAATCTCTACGCATGATAAACGCAATTTAAAAAGATTTAGGTTTATCAGGGAACACTGGCTCTTGTGCCGTGGTAGTCTGGAAGTTAAAACGCCCACTTCTCATGCATGAGGGTGCGGGTCCGAAATCTACCACCGACAAGTACCAATGTGACTTTTTCCAAGTTATATGTACTTTCTGAGATTATTTAGACACCACTCACAAACGTTGAAGGAAAACATTGTGAGGAAACCTGGACTTATAATTTCTAACTATAAGTTTGATATAAGGCAACCCGCAATGAGCAAGCGTGGTGATTAATGCTCAAACCTTCTCCGTGTGAGAAGAGACCTGTGGTCAGCAGTAGTCACTTATAGGCTTCTCCCACGTAACTATCATAAATGAATGTATGATTATTTTAGTTATTTCACAGACTTATTTAAAAAATGTTGCCCTACACTAGGATTCTCTCCTGTGTCGTGGGTGCGATACAAGTTCACATACACATGAGACCCAGACCCGGAACAATAATTTGTGGATCACATAAAAAGTTGCGCGGCACCCGGTTGCCCAGCCACCACACCAACTGTACAGTCAAATCAAGTTAAAGTCACTTTAAATATTGTCTGCTAGATCATCAATTTTCACTTTTTTTTTTAATTTTCAATCATGAGATATTTCTTAAACTGTCAAACACCAAACGGTCACCGGTGACCGCAACCTATTGTTCTATAATTGTGTCTATAAATACGGTACTCGACGAGTTAACTGGATAAAATTGGCATTTGTCAGTTATTAGTATAGAAAAATTGTCAAGTATTCAAAGTTATTCCTCAGATAAAATTTAGCTGGGTATTGAAAAATCGGTAAAGCATAATTTCCAAAACTATACTTCCTAATATTAGTAATTTTGTAAGTACCATGCGAAATTTACGTTCATACTAAGGTCACTGGCGCTTGCGTGCTATCAGCGTATCATTTAGTTCTATGAAGGAACTTAAGGCCTCTTAACACGATAACTACTGATTAATCTATTGTTAAACTCACACTAACAAATGCTGACTTATTTGTGTTCCAGTTTGTATGCAGTTAACTTTAATGAAAACTGTTGGTAATAAAAATCTTGTGGTATATTTCTTTTATTAACTTATTATAAAACATTTACCTATGTTAACACACTGACTTATAATCGACGACTTACTACTTGTTAATAGAATGTATGACCTAAAACTATTGGCGCTATTTTTTGCAAACATAAAAAGTTCTTCAATCACTTTATGAACAAGAAACAAAGGAAAAATCCACCGTCATATCTTTTTTTTTCAATGACTTCTCCCACGTTAGGTTAGCGAGATGAGTGTCAGACTCTTACTGACTTAAAACCACTGTTCCTACTCCGGCTCTCCGAGCCGGAGCCCCGGCAATCCGTTAGGGCTTCCGTGGCTCCGCTAGATCACAAATTATGCAAAAAAAACATTACCTCAATTGACAACAATAGTCGCTTAAAACCTATTGTAAAGGCGCATTACAAAATTCACACCAACATTAATATTTCTATTAAAAGTATAATAATGCATGAAAATGCATGGCGTGTTCAAAGGTTCATATAAGTTGTGCGGCTCGACCCTCCTCAAACTGTGGCCCACAGCTAGGCACAGCTTAACCTAACCCAGTTTCTGTATTATCCACTAAACTATTCCAGCTTAAAACGTCGTTAAGCACATTAGTTTTAGAAGCATTACTTGCGGGTATGATGACGGGAACTTATACCTGAGGTTAGCTGCTAAACGTTTTACTGTTAAGTACCTTTGATGTGCTAAGAAAGTGGTTGTGTAATACTTTATCATTGAAAACTCTTGTAGCGACAACGCTATCCAATGAATAATATCACACAAAACCTATTGTGCATTAACAGGTACATCTTTAGCCACTAAAGTATCTGAAATATACATTAAATAATATCTTTCTCATTATAAATACAATGTAAGTATCTGTCAGTAAGTCTTGTATCTGAATTTTCAACAGTCCTCTAACAGTCCATGTTAAAAGGCTTGAACGACTTCAAGAAACGGCTAACAAATAAATCAGAGCTTAAAATATTCACTATTGAATCTTAGCAGTAAATCACACCGCAGCACCTCAGGAACTCCTATTATCATTCACACCGCCCTTCCTAATCCCGCCGGATTACAATCTCGAGACGGTCCGGGAATAATTACTTACCTACTCATCTCTGCACTCGGTCAAATAAAAGCTGGATAAAGGGTTATCACTGAGCCCGCAAATTAACCGCCGAGTTCAAATAAACCATTCTACATTCAAATACGAAAGTCACATTTATGCACTTTTATTTTTGATATGGCAATAAAATTAATCGAGCGTTGCCTAAATTTCGAATGGCCATTCCATTTATGAAATTGAAAACGTAACGGATTATTTTCGGAATACAAACGATGCAATGGAACATTGTTTGGATTGGACTATAGGAAAAGTACAAAAATTATGCCAGCACAAGGGGAATTCGTGACGAGTGGCAATTGGAAACTGTACTGACAGGGTGATTAATCAGCAGGTCCCACTTAACCCTACCACTGTTCAGACCTCCTCTTGCCATCAGTCAATTCATTAAGCTAACAAAGTACCTACTACCGGTAATGACTTTCACAACGAGCCGAGCACTTCAATACTACTGCTAAGATTAGAGCTCACTTAGATCTATACAATTCTCTCCGGTCGAAACTAGTGTCAATACATCCTGCATTTGAGGACTAGAATTGAAGATAAACCATCTCCAGTAGCTCATCTCATAAAATAAATTTAAAGTGCGTTTTAGACAATTTTATATAAATAAACAAGTATTCATTTCCATTGTGCCAGTAAAATATTTTGCGTACTAGTTTTAAAAATAGCCCAATAACAGCGTGATGAACGACAGATGAATATTAAATAACAGTATAAAATTAACAATTACTCTTTTGTATAAAAACTTTTCTGAAATTAAATCAAACTAAAAACTAATTAACGAAATCAATTTATATAATCCGTTCACAACGAAGCCTAACATACTAGCAGAACTCAAAAACCATGAACTTTCTCAATTATCCGTAATTCAATGAGTGGCAAGGTGAAACCCGCCTCAACCAATTTTAAATTAACTAACATCAATAACAATCATCAATTTGAGTAAAGAAGTCTAATTAAAGAAGCCGTTACAAGTTACCTCCATAAATCTGAACAGGAAACAATACAAGCTATCCATTACTTACGCCTATGTTCACGAATATTCCAATGAGGAAACTTTCAGGCCGACCAAGACAAATATAGTTTTTTAACGACTACCACGGGCCACTTTCCAATTTGTTATCTCCCAATGAGGGCCAACTTCAACCATATAAATCAAATTTAAGTGCAAGAATTTAATATTGTCGTGATATACGATATTGCTGCATCGATGTAGCTAACTAATAGCTTTCGCGTGTCGCAGGTTTGTGAAACCATAATTTTAAAGTAAATTAGCTCGTTATCAATTGAAACGAAAAATTCAATTTCACCTCTTTGTTATGATTTTCCTTTTTCTATTTTTAAGAATGCTTCGGTTTTATTTCATTACCATCTTTTACTTTTCTTTGAAATGTTTAAGACTACATTTTTTATTTATTAATCTTGTAATCGTTAAACACATTAACGGTCCGCTTTGTTCCGAATACAAATTCGAAAATCTCGAGACAATCACATTTTAGTAGATCCGAGGAGAACAGAGAACGAGCATGTTGTGTAGGTAACAATAATGATAGCGACGACAGAAAACAGCGTCGGCAACAATAGGGTATTATTCAAAATTTGCCCTTTATTGTTTCGCATAAAACATGTTCGTGGTGACAACAGCGTGTCGCGTGCCTATTTGTTTCATGTTCAACACCAAATTATGCAGATAAGCGAATGAATGGTGGAAACTTAGTCGTAGACTGATGCAAATTAACTCCACCATCCTTCCATTCGACGGTTTTCATCAGTACCACGAAGTTTGAAACAGATATGACTACGTTCTACGGTAGCCAGATTGTTAATCCCAATTATCGAGTAAGTTGCTCGGCCATGCTATCCGATTTCATAACAATTGTTTGTGGTTCAGACAAAAGTTCCTAGCGATCACACCAATTAATAGAAAGTCCATTAAGTACAGTGTTTCTCCTTATTAAATTCAAGTACTTTCCTTAGAAGGGGTGGTACACCCTCCCTAATACAAAATAAATAATTACCCACTCAGTACAGAACGTTTCGAATTCATAATTAAAATTATAACTTTGGAACAAGGAGTGATGAGAAAATGTTGGTTTTCCATTTTACTCGAGGACACTTTAGCAAAGTACTGGACTTTTGTCGCCTTTACCGTAGACTTTGGCGGTGACGCGATTAGTGCCAATATTATTAGAAAACTTTGAAAATTAACTTTGAATCTGAAATGTAATAAATTGAAATTCCTTTTATCAGTTATTGAGGGGTTAACGCAATACTTCATTAATTAAAAATCGTTTAACTTAAAGTCTTGGGACATAATATCGCGAAAGCCGCCGCGTTTCATAATTTTCTCATTAAATATTTATAGTCTTGTCTCATTTACGTAATGATTGTTTAATTTTATTCTTAGTGGCTATTGAGTTCACTTTTTTCTAAAATATAACAGACTTGCTTTCGATTTATGAATTTTGGAAACTTGTCTTTATTTTTAACTTGAACAATTTATATCTTTCAAAAGTCAAATAGTCTTTCAGAATCCACCAAAAAACCTTTAATAAATTGACTAAGTAGGGAGGTATTGTTAAGGGATTTCTTTATAAACAGTTAATTATTTAGTAAAATACGACTGCCTTGTAGGCCGAGTGGTCGCAAGT